GGCAGTAATGACAGAGCATGCGCTGTTACACAAAAACCGCGATAGAGTGAAGCCGCGGAAGTCGAAGCGCGAAGTGGCGAGGGTTCACTGTATAAATCACTTCTTCCTAAACAGAAATACTATCAAGAATCTGATTAAATAAAAACCCTGAATTTATCATCCTAACTATACTCCTAGGATCCCTGGTGGATAGTGGTTACATGTTGGACTGCGTTCTGCAGGGTCAGCAGTTCAAAACCACCAGCCCCTCGGCAAGAGAAAGCCACCGGGGCTTTTTACTCCCATTAAGAGTGGCAGCCCCAGAAACTCACAGGTGCAGTTCCACCTTTCCCATCAGGTTTCTGGGAGTCGGCATCGACTCCATAGCAGTGAGTTGGAGTTTTTGTTTTTGTTTTCATGCACTCCTAGGCTACCCAGCCCTACGGTTCCAGGAGTACTTTACCAATTTAATGTGGAAAATTCTTTGGTGAAGTCTAACTCATAATGAATCTCTGGTTAAGACATTTATGCCCTTTTTCTCAGGGTAAGGTTACACTTTTGGTATGGGTTAGATAGTTTAAAACAACTGAACTAAGTGCTATGGCTAATTATGCATACATCGTTACTTAAAACATGGACACTTCTGGCAAGAATAATTCTTACTTAATAATTTAATGACAATAAAAGCACTGACATTTTTCCAGGTCTAAAGGTAAAACACATGAAGTATTCTTCCCAGTGGTTCTCAATCTTCCTAATCCCGCGACCCTTTAATACAGTTCCTCATGTTGTGGTGACCTCCCCCCAACCATAAAATTATTTTTGTTGCTACTTCATAACTGTAATTTTGCTACTGTTATGAATCAGACGGCCCCTGTGAAAGGGTCGTTGGACCCCCAAAGGGGTCGCGACCCACAGGTTGAGAACCGCTGAGTTAAACCATCATAGATTTTGACACACCTCTTGGTGTAGATGCAGAGCAGCTTTCTTCCCATACTGCGTGAAGTTTACTTCTGGATTTGGCTACTTCTCCCTGCCTCTAAGATAAGTTGTACGTAAATGTATATAAACAAATGGATGTTGATTACCGTTTTCCTTCTGTGATATAAGTTTGGGTCTGGTGATTAACCCTCAAAGCCATGGCAGCACAGTGGTCATTGGTGGGCAGTTTACTGCAAACTCAGCAGTTTGAAACCCCAGAAGAAAGTTGAGGTTCTCCCCTGCTTTAAAGACGTACAGTTTCAGAAACCCGTAGGCACAGCTCTACCCTGTTCCTGTAGGGTTGCTTTGAGTTGGAATCAACTTGATGGCAGTGAGTCTGGTTTTCTGGGGGTGTACTTAGCCAAGACAGTTAGCTCTTGCCTAGGTAAATGTATCCTTTTATGTATGTGGTCCCACGTCTGTAATTCACTAAGTCTACTAAGAACGGAGTATTTGAGCTACAGAGTTTCTAAGATGTGACTTAGAATCATTCTAGCTATCAGGAAAATGACCAAGCTGTTCAAGCTAATTTATTATTATTTTCTTTTAGTGATTTATTGCAAAGCCCCCGTTAGCAGTTATGCTTTCTTTTAAAATTTATTTTGTACTCTCCTCGTCTAGGAAAAACAGCATGGTCCTTCTGACCTAGAACAATAATAGTATCTCCTGGCTCCAATCCAGGCTCTTGGTCTGCTTCACCATGGAATGTTCTCTTCTGGCCATCTTTCATGCCTCTGTCAAAATGAACTTCTAGAATCTTCTTCTCACGAACAATTTTCTTTCCATTGCAACTTTTGCATCTCTCTTTAGGGCTGACCCGTTCCCCATGGCTCTGGCATTCCATGCACACAGACTGATTTTGCTGCACCATTCCAGGCCTGAACTGATGGATTCGTATTTGCATTCCAGGACCACGGCAATTAGGACAGCACTCTACTGCTCCTCTCTTACTGCCTCGCCTTCACGTTTGTTACAAATCACATTCTTTTGCAGAGCTCGTTTTCTTGTTGCGTCATTATACACACCGTCTAATGTTACTGAGAGTTGATGCCCCACGTTTTTTCTTCTCCTTTCTCTCTGCATCCTTCCGCTGCCTCCAAAGAACATGTCAAAGATGTCCATCGGGGAACCCAAACCACCGCCTGCTCCGCCCTCCTCGATGGCCTCTCTGCCCCCCTTGTCGTAGCATTCTCTTTTCTTGGCATCAGAAAGCACTTTGTGTGCTTGAGAAATCTCTTTAAACTTCTCACCTTCATTTGGGTTCTTAGCAGGATGGTACCTCAATGTATGACCCTTAATTGTTATGCTCTGAAATTAAAACTGTATTTAACTGTGTACAGTGAACCCTCGCTTATCGCGGTTAATCCGTTCTAGATCCTACCGTGATAAATGAAATTCCGCGAAGTAGGATTCCTTATTTGTAAATCAAATATTTTCGTAGTTAGAGCATAGAGGACATGAAAAAACACCCTTTAGTCACCATTACACTCGTATTACCCAATTTATTAAACGAAAAAGGGAAAATACAGTAAAAGATTTTGGACGTTACAATTATCATTTATTATTTATTATATTATTTATGGCATCAAGCGTGTACAGTATGAGCCAATCAGTGGCAGTAATGACAGAGCATGCGCTGTTACACAAAAACCGCGATAGAGTGAAGCCGCGGAAGTCGAAGCGCGAAGTGGCGAGGGTTCACTGTATAAATCACTTCTTCCTAAACAGAAATACTATCAAGAATCTGATTAAATAAAAACCCTGAATTTATCATCCTAACTATACTCCTAGGATCCCTGGTGGATAGTGGTTACATGTTGGACTGCGTTCTGCAGGGTCAGCAGTTCAAAACCACCAGCCCCTCGGCAAGAGAAAGCCACCGGGGCTTTTTACTCCCATTAAGAGTGGCAGCCCCAGAAACTCACAGGTGCAGTTCCACCTTTCCCATCAGGTTTCTGGGAGTCGGCATCGACTCCATAGCAGTGAGTTGGAGTTTTTGTTTTTGTTTTCATGCACTCCTAGGCTACCCAGCCCTACGGTTCCAGGAGTACTTTACCAATTTAATGTGGAAAATTCTTTGGTGAAGTCTAACTCATAATGAATCTCTGGTTAAGACATTTATGCCCTTTTTCTCAGGGTAAGGTTACACTTTTGGTATGGGTTAGATAGTTTAAAACAACTGAACTAAGTGCTATGGCTAATTATGCATACATCGTTACTTAAAACATGGACACTTCTGGCAAGAATAATTCTTACTTAATAATTTAATGACAATAAAAGCACTGACATTTTTCCAGGTCTAAAGGTAAAACACATGAAGTATTCTTCCCAGTGGTTCTCAATCTTCCTAATCCCGCGACCCTTTAATACAGTTCCTCATGTTGTGGTGACCTCCCCCCAACCATAAAATTATTTTTGTTGCTACTTCATAACTGTAATTTTGCTACTGTTATGAGTCGGGCGACCCCTGTGAAAGGGTCTTTCGACCCCCAGGTTGAGAACCACTGTTCTAGAGGAACGTGAACCCTTTGGTTTCAACCAGAACTTGGCGATATCAAGAAGGCTCCAAAGACTTTGCGGTCTTCCCTGGGTGGGGTCATATGGGAGAGGATCTTTGATCTACGGCATGAACTTCCCCTGTGGACCAATACTTTACACTGGTGTAATTTATAGTTGTTTGCGGTGGCAGCGGCATTTTTTTACTTTAACTTTGTTTGCTCTCTAGATATTCTGTCAACATTTATTATTTTTATCTTGGGATACATCTTTTAGTATGTGCCTTTACTTATTTTATTACTGAGCATTCTATGTTGTCCTGGTGGTGTAGTGGTTAAGCGTTGGGTTGCAATCCACTATTCATTATTCTATGAAGACCTGGTGGTTCAGTAGTTAAGCATTGCGCTGTGAGCTGAATGGTTGGCAGTTCAAAACCACCAGCAGCTTCTAGGGTGAAAGACTGGGCTTTCTACTTCTGTAAAGAGTTACAGTCTTGGAAACCCATAGGGGGCCACAGTAAGTCAGCATTGACTCAATGACTGTGTGTTTTGAGTTCATTCATTATTCTGAGAACTGTTTTCTCTATTTTGTGGAAGTTAGCATATAATTTCTTCTCTAAAATGGAAACTGTTTACGACATTTGGGAAGGGGTAAATAAGATAGCATGCGCTTGAGGCGACAACGTACAAATCTGTATCTCTGTTTAGAACGGATGATTGATGACGTGCCCATTTTGATGAGCAAACCTCCTACTTCTCTACAGGACTTTGATGTAGATTCCAAAATCCGCGCTGAGATTAACAGAAAAACAGCATTCAAAATCCAACAAGCAGAGAGGGAAATGGCTTGGGAAAAAGAGAAATGTTATCTTGGTCTCAAGAAGCTACAAAATAGGTAGGATCTGCATTTCTTGCAAATTTACATGTCTGAGAGCATGTGTCTGAATCAAGTAGTTTGCAATGGCTTAGTCAGAAGTGTTTTTGCAAAGGTCCGGAAGGACTCAAGGCCCCTGAATTCTCCACACTTCCCCATGACTGCTGTTATTGACACCTTCCTGAGCTTCACCCTTACTTCTTCCTAGATTAAGTCTAGGAGAAGGGTGCTCAACAATGACAATCTTCACAGGTCAAACTGCATAATATGTACTTACTCTGGTTTCGAGAAATTTTTTATCTTGTATCAAATTAATTTGGGGGGCCACCTTTTGGTGATAAAATTTATATGTTGTTGTTGGGTGCCAACTAGTTGATTCTGACCCATAGTGACCCTGTGCACAACAGAAGTAAACACTGCCCAGTCCTACACCATCCTCACAATAGTTCCTATGCCTGAGCCCATTGTTGCAGCCATGGTGTCAATCCATCTAGTTGAAGGTTTTCCTCTTTTTTGCTGCCTCTCCATGTTGCTAAGCATTATATCCTTCTCCTGTGACTGATCTCTCCTGACAATATGTCCCAAGTATATAAGAAAAAGTCTTGCCAGCCTTGCCTCTAAGGAGCACTCTGGCCTACTTCTTCCAAGACAGATTGGTTTGTCCTTTTAGTAGTCCATGGTACTTTCAGTATTCTTCTATAGTACCACAATTCAAATGCTTCTCAGTCTTCCTTATTTAATGCCCAACTTTCACTTGCATATGAGGCAATGGAGAATAGCATGGCTTGGGTCAAGTGACCCTTACTCCCTTAAAGTAACATCCTTGCTACTCAACACTCTAAAGAGGTCATCTTGTGCAGCAGATTTACCTAATGCAATATGTCTTTTGATTTCCTGTCTGCTGCTTCCATGAACCTTGACTGTGGGATCCAGGCAAGATGAAACCCTCACAATTTCAGCCTGGCTCTAGGCTTAGGCTTCACCTGCGCTTAGGGACTTAGTTTGCACATGCTCAGTTCTGCACTTTCCCATAGGCGTCTAATTATGTGCCTGATCTCTTTTCAACCCCTGTATTGGGGGCCCTATGTGGGCACTAGGGAGACAACCCCCTTTGTCCCTAACCTAGGAAGCTAATATAAGCACCAATAATGTTGTTAAACTAGTTAATAAAGAGTTAAATATTTTCACTAAGAAGAAATCAAGTCCTATCTAACTTCCACTTCCTGGTAAGAGGGTATGGTGTATATATGTATGTGATGGTATACCACACAAATAAATGTCTATCTGGTTACATTTTGCATCCAGCATCCTGTAGATGCCATAACATATGGCTTTAAAGAATATTGTATTAGGGTCTGTATTACTATAGTCATTCAGATGATTTCAATGGCGAATATTTTGTTTGTTTTCCAGATTCCGCGATTCACTGGAAAATGATGCTATTGTGGTTCATGCCATCCAAAGTAGCCACAAGATAGCCTCCTATAGGCTTGTGAAGCCCTCTAAGTACTCCAGATCCAAACAAATCAGTCAGATGGACAGAAAAACGAGCAAAATGGACAGGCTTGAGAAAGAGGGAGCTGGGAAAAAGGATAGCCAACGAGATACAGGTAGCCTGACGGATAAGAGGACTCTTATTCATGCTTCTTAAGACTTCAGACTCAGTTGCCATTTTTGTGGCTCGACCCTCTGGTCCCTCTTTGGTGGTTTCAGCACAATCTCTGGTTCCCTTTCCTCCTGTGATGGGCAGCTTTGGAATAAGTAATGACAGCCCCTAAGCGGGGCCTGGAAAGGCTGAGAAGGAGAGGTCCGGGTTTTTACAGTGAGTACTCCACATTAGCTGTCCTTTTAGAGGCACCTCCTAAAGCAAAGCCACCCCGCTGATGGCATTGAGTGTGGGAAGAATGACGGATGCTACTGTTTTGTTTTCCCTCATTCCCAACCCTTTCTTAATCTGTCATTTCCCACCTTCTTCCCAGGTTCTTGGGTCCTAACCCAGACCAAGAGGCTAGAATAGTACATTTCAAATGATTGCCCAAGAAAGTATGCTTTACACGGAATGAATGAGCTGAGAATAATCCAACCCAAACCAAATCCACTGCCCTTGAGTCAAATCCAACCCTCGATGACCCAAAAGTCTGAGGTGAACTGCCTCACAGGGTGTCTGAGGCTTCCATCTCTCACGGAAGCAGACTGCCTCATCTCTCACCTTTGAGCAGCAGAGAGATGTGTTTGAACTGCTGACCTTACTGTAGCAGCTAAGTGTTTAATAAGTGTACAACCAGAGCTGAGCAGACAGGTGTGAAATTAGGACATCTAACCTCTGGACTGGCTTTGGGGGGGGGGGGCGGCACACTGGGTGGCTGCAGATAAATAGGAGGAGAACAGGAATTCTGGGAATGGTTTTGAGGGCCCAGCCAAGAATAAACAGTGGGTTCTGCGGCCAGTGTGCTGGCCAAATCTGGGCTAGTGTCCGTAACACAGCACCGGCAGTAACGCTGGGCACATCCTCTTCCTTGAGAAGCCTCCAGTGACTCCTTTCTGGCTGAAGGATACATTTTGAGACCATGATCACAGCATTAAAGCCTCCTACCATCGGATTCCAGTCTCCACTTACAATATTGTCTCCTCACACTGTTTCCCAAGAATGTTTAAGCTGTTGTCCTCCTTGCTGTTTCCTAATTATGCCTGGTATTTCCATGCCTAGAGTCCTGCTGCAATGAATAGGTCACCCTTTTCTCTCCAAATGCTGTTGGTTCCCCAGGCCCCAGCTCAAGTCACAGCGCTGCTATGAAGCTTTCCCCACCCTTCTCTCAAACGCCAAATGCTCTGTTATCCGGTGGATTCTGACTCATAGTGACCTTATAGGACAGCATAGAACTGCCCTTGTGAGTTTCTGAGACTGCAATGATCCCTGGGAGTAGAAAGGCTCATCTTTCTCCCAAGGTGGTTTCTAACTTCGACCTTGTGGTTAACAGTCCAATGTGCAACCTGTGGGCCACCAGGGCCCCTTTCCCTAATCATCCAGACCACATTAAGCCCCTTTCCTTACTACCACACACATGACCTCTAACTATCCCATCTTAATATTTAACTTTCTTATCTATCTGGAACCCTGGTGGCTCAAGGATTAAGCATTGGGATGCTAATGGCCAGGCTAGGGGGTTGACCTCACCAGCCACTCTGAGAGAGAAAGAATAGGCTGTTTCTACCTGTCACTAAGGTTTCTACCTACAATTCTATTCTTTCCGACAGGGTCTCTATACATCTCAATGGCAGTGGATCACAGAAAGATTGAATTAAAATATAATGGAATTCTATCACGGACCTTTTGAAGTGTGTTTTATTAATTATTGACATAATTAGGTTCCAAAGGTTAGGTCATTTGAAAATCAGTACTGTGTCAAAATGGAGGAGGACCATGTCATATCACAAAATGGAGGGTGACTCCATCTAATTACATGACTACAAAATTGTATCAAGACATAGCTGCCTAATTACATCCTTATGTAATTAATTGAGAATCATGGCTCAGCCAAGTTGACATATAACCATAATAATGACAGCCAGCGTTACTCTTGCCTAGCACCACGTACTGGAACGTGCAAACTAGTCAGACAGTAAAATTTCCCACTAGTGACATACATGTAAAAGATCAGCTAATTCGACTAGAAGTGAGGAGCAGATACCAACATACATACAATATGTGTGTGTGTGTATCATCCTTATGTTGCTCTCATGATAGCTTGAACATGGTAAAAAAAACAAAACTAATTCCCCAGAAGATAATTGTTCATTGATAAAGCCCAAGACTTTCAAAATCTTAGATTTGATTATGTGTTTGGGGCCAGTTTTTAATTGCCGATATACCATTTCAGTTTTCATACCACATCACATGCTATGTGGGAATAGGATTCCACTTGTTTTCCTTCCCCTTCCCATCATTTCATAGCCATTCCTTCCAGCACTCCCGAGAGCTGAGATGTCCACAGCCCTCTGAAGGCTTACTATATCTACATGACAGCTTCTATAGGGTCTTCAGGGACTTAGAGGTCTTCATGTTGGTGTGGTGCAGTATGTATTTGGGGATTGAGATTATAGTTGTTCAATATTACTTTGATTTGCAGTTTCATTATGTTCTGTAGAGTTGTTTTTTTTAATGTGATCAGTTAAAAACAATTGTTATTGGAGCTTTTTATTTTCATGTTTCAAAAACATTGGGGACAAAAGCCAACAAGCTCCCCATGCTCTGAACAGGGATGGTTTTGAACATACCAGAAGAATCAATTTTGGAAAAAGGGAAGAAATTTCGACCTAAAACCTTGAGTGAAATTATGGTGGAAAATCAAATCGAGAAAACAAGGAAGGTCATCTTAAAAGCCGAAAGAGCCCAGCAAAAGATTCAGCAGCGGAAGAAAGAATGGGAGGAACTGTGAGTTTTTCACCTAAACTCTTATCTAGATACACTAAAAATTATTTTCATCTGTTTTCATTGCAAATATTTCAGTTAAAAAGTGAAAGATATGGGAATAGAGAAGGAAGACAGCTCTGCTGGGTCTTTCTGAGTGGTGACACGTCGGTGGCATTTCTGATTCCACTTGTGATCTCATAGTTGCAGACCCAGGCATTGCATTTTGCTAGTACACTCCGAGTGTGGCGTTTCAAAGAGGAAGGAATCTGTTTCTGTGCCAGCATCACGGAGGTACACTCCCTTAGGACCTCCCAACATCTCACAGTTTTTCCCCTCACCTTCGGATCTGTGAAAACAAATCAAATCAAAGCAAACCTTTGCTGTCATTCGGCCTCAAGGCGGCCTGTGTGTTTCAGAGTAGACCTGTGCTCTGTGGAGGCTATCATCTTATGGGAATTGATTGCCAGGCTTTTTTTCCCCCTTCCTCTGAGGTAACAGTAGGTGAATGTGAACCACCAACCTCGGGGTTAGTAGCTGAAAACCAATTTTTTTTTTATGCTACCCGAGTACCTTCAACCTCTTGGACTTGAACTCCCCCCACCCGCATTTGGTGTGAGAAGAGTAAAAAACTGAAAAAATCATTCAAACCCACTCCCATTGAATCAGTTCTGACTCATCATGACCCTATTGGGCAGGGTCGAATTGCCTGTGGGTTTCTGAGCCTGTGAAGATGTAAGCGAGCAGACAGCTTCATCTTCCTTCTGGCGGGTTTGAACGGACACCTTGTGGTTTGCAACCCAACAGTTAACCCATCCACCACCAGGTGTCCTCGAAGTATAGTATTAGGGTGGTTTTATTTATCCTGTGGGCTACCCAAGTTTTCATGTACTTTTATTTTAAAACCTGCCTGTCCTTCAGGGATCTACAATGATACTGCCCTCATCCCTGAAGGATCTCATTCAGATAGTTTTGCTTCTGAGTTTTCTATTCCATCCCATTGGTCTATTTTATTCCTATTCTTGACCCAGAATCATGGCGCCCTGGTGGTGTTGTCAGCGAAGACCTGTACTGTAAATGGCAAGGCTGGCTGTTCAACCCCCACCCCCACCCCAGTCACTGTATGGGAGAAAGAGAAGCTTGTCTACTCTCATGAGATTGACAAAGCATTGGAGGCTTCATAGAGGGTCATTGTGAGTTGTAATCCACTTGTTGACAGTGGAGTGGGTGGGAGTTAGGAGCACACTATAGCTTGCTAAGAAGCCTTACTATCTAGTGGGGCAAAACTTCATACTACAATTTTTTTTTCAAGAATGTTATGGCTATTTTTAAATTTGAAATTGGCTCAATTGACTCCTCCTCGTATGTTTTGCTTTTTCAAACACAGAGAATGGACAGTTTTTTTTTTAGTCCTAGTCTTAGGGAGAAGCCCTTCCTTCCGCTCCCACTAAGGATGGCACAATGAGGAAACTCCCTTCTCCGAGTTTGTTGAAAAAAAATTTTTTTAGTATAATTTTATCAGGGATGAGTACTGATTTTTTCAAACTTTTTTGTTATATATTGAGATGATAGTATGCTTTTTTCTTCTATTCTTTAATACTATAAATTCTAGTAATTGATTTTAAATGCTAAATAAGCATTCTTAGAGTAAATTGGCATGTTTTTGGTATGTTATACAGTGAACCCTCGTTTATCGCGGTTAATCGGTTCTAGACCCTACCGTGATAAATGAAATTCCGCGAAGTAGGATTCCTTATTTGTAAA